TATACCGATATCGATCAATCAATCAATCATCAATGTACAATCAGGAGGTGTGGAAAGGATATGATTGTGACCAATTTTCGGTCTTGTCTGCTTTTATGGGTATGAGGGTGGATGTTACTTCCCGGCTGCCTACACTGTAGAAGAGTTCTAGTTGTCAGAAGGGGGGTATCGGCCTCACGACTTCCGAAGGAACCCGACTTTCATCATGAGACGTCATAACTTTTCTAAATGAAGACCTTCTGACTCCCAGAGCAGAATTTTAAATGGTTTGAATTATTTTTTCTTGTTAGCGTTTTTTTTGGCAAGTTAAGTTTTTCCGGGTTGGTGGCGTAAGATGATACACGAGTGTCACCAGGTAGCACATACAGGCATCGCAAGAACGACGGATTTATTAAGACAAAGTGCATACTGGCCGGGTATGAGAGACGATGTGGCTCAATACGTGTTAACTTGCCAGCAGTGTCAACTAATGAAAAGCGATAGATACACACAACCGCCGTTACAGTCGATCCCAGTAACCACAGTCGGTGATCTATGGTCGGTGGATATAATAGGACTGTTTCCACAGACGGCGACCGGTAACCGGTACCTGCTAGTGATGACGGAGCATGCTACACGTTGGATAGATGCCGTACCCATTGCAAACCAGCGGGCAAGAACAATGACCGAAGTGGTGATCCGGCATATTGTAGCGTGCCACGGAATACCGAAAGTGATATTAACTGACCAGGGTCCCTGTTTTGAAAGTGACGAGTTTAGAGACCGTCTAAAACAGTTTGGCATCATGAGGATACGAACTACACCGTATCATCCTCAGACAAACGGGCTTACAGAGAGAAACAACCGGACGTTAAAGGAATGGTTAGCATCTAAAGGAGGAGATTACGAGAAAGAGTTACCATTGATTTCGCTGGCGCATCGTTCCTCCATACAAGGTACAACCAAGAAATCACCCTTCTCGCTCATGTATGGCAGACAACCGCGACTTCCATTGCACAATAAGACCTGGCCACAACAACAGAAATGGACAACAACAAGGTTGAGAAAAGAGAGGAGGGAGGCAATCAGGAACGTGAGAAAGAAGCAAATATCAGACATAAAGAAGGCGGAACAGCAGAGGAGAACGTGGAAACCTTTGGCAGTGGAGGACCTAGTGAAGTGTAGAGAACAAAAAAGTAGCATAACAGGGGGATCAGGATTGTGAAAGCTGATCTCAAAGTGGGACGGACCGTACGTTGTCACGGAGAGACGCGGCGCGGTGTACACGATCCGGAGAGAAGATAAGCAGAAGCGTGTAAATGCCAGTCAATTGCAGAGGTGGTTTCAAGATTATCAAGTGTGTGAGTCACGGAAAGCACCAAAGAATACAGCGGTACGGCGATCATATCTAATTCTCCTCCTTTATCCGGACTTCGGACCTGCAGTAGCTCCAAAAGATCTACAGGTGGAGTTATCAATGTACAACCAACCTACCAGGAATCTATATCAATCCGAATGCTTGCAAATTCATATCACCAAACTATGTATTGTACAACATATGTAAACTCGGGACATCAAAGTTAATCATTGATAATGTTCAATGATAATCTTTACATATCAAAAAAATAATTGAAATAGTCACATCTTACATTTACCGAATAATAAACGTTCTGTATCCCTAGGCCTTATACAAAATGATGAACATTTTTACGTACAAGCCTCTTTACTCTTTCTTTCTCTCTCTCTCTGTCGATAACGGCCAATCGAATTGAATTAACTATAATGTGTTTTTTCTGGAATGTGTTTATAAAGATTGATTGTATATTTACAAGTATGTTAATTTCAATTCATATGGATTTTGATTGAGGGGGGAAAGAGGTGACCTCTGTCTCCTTCGCCCTATTACATATACATTTCAACACAATAACTATTTGTAATAGTTACTAACTACTAGTGAATTTTTTTTTCTGTTCAAATTCTAGCTGTCCATCGAACATTGATAGATTCTTTACGTACTGCATTAGTATGGATTTGTAGTTTAATTTTATACTATGCAATTGGTCCACCATATGGAGAACCATTCAGTATTGGTTGGGGTCTTATTGAAAGTAAGTGATATTTGGATTGTTTTTGTTTGTTTTTTTTTCATTATATTGAGAAGACTGAGGCAGGCGCGGATCTACACTCTTAGTCAATTAAAAACGAAAACATTACATTGAATACACTCTATTTACACACCATCTTTGTGTCGTGACTTCCAACACTCCATCATCATTCTTCCATTCCTGTTGTTGCTTCCTTTCCTTCCTGTTGGTACTCCATTCACTTCTTGCTTTTGCTCCATTTGCTTTCCGTTTTCCTCTTCTGATCGTGCGACTCCTTCTTTCACGTCCCTTCTTATACTACTACTTATATCGTTCGTATAAGTAGCACACACCACAATATATGCTAGTCGTAATAAACAGATTTTGACTGTTTATAACATTCATCAATAGTAGTGTATCAACAAAAACTAAAAGGTACATTACATAATTATTAAGAAGGTGGTATAATGTCTTCTAATTTTCAACTTTACAAAAAAACAGCAAACTATGAACCAATTAGAGTAGACATTTTCAGTAGCTTGTGTAAAATTCGAAGTCGGAGGAGGGTTCACCAAACTAAGTGGCCCGCGACTTGACCTCCTCCAGAGTAGTTTTGGATGAATGATCAAGTAAGGCAATGAAATAAATGTTTACTTTCCATTTCCGAATATATATTATACTTTGGTGAACTCCGTTTATGCGATAGTGGTAACAAGACAAAGCCGAATACAGTTTTGCAGATGAATTTATTTCATGCAGACAGACATTCAAACAGACAAACATGAGAATGAGAAGCATACAAGCACAAAGCAAAGCGTAGTGAAGTGAATTCGAGAAAGGCAAGTAAACCAATTCTCCCCCCCCCCATATTTCAAATTCCAGACTTAGGTGTTTTATTAAAGAACTTTGATGGATATCTGTGCTGCTTATACAGTAAATCATGTATAAGTTTTCGTTGCTTTTTCAATATTTTCATCAAAACAAATAATTTTGACTCTGTCAGCCAAATATTTGATCAAGTGTCTCTAATGACTGTTGTGAAGTATATTGTATTGTATATATTGAGTTTGTATAAGTCAACTGACAACAATTCCTTTTTATTTATCCATCAATTCTTGTCAATAGTAGATGGTTTGGAGAAAAAAGATGACGACGTTGTAATTCCCTTTTCTTTTCATTATGGAAGTAATTACCTATTGACGAAGCATTGCTCGTTTATCTTGGGACTATTGAATAAACAATGTTGTTGTTGTTGTTGTTAGGAAACGGGTACTCTTTAAGATGATGGCAGGTCAATTGATGAAGTAGTCAAACTTCATCAGTTGAGATGGTTGAAACATGTGTTACGTATTCCCAACGACTGACTGCCTCGACGAGCTGTGTTTTGTGGTGTATGAGTAGATTGGAAGAAAGCTAGGGGCGGCCAGACCTAAACATGACAGAAATCCATGAAGTCCACTGACAAGGGGACTGAGTCATGTTGGTAGGTGTTGACTACCTGGTTGGGGTCCGCGAGACGATAATAATCGATGGTTAGAGACCTTGAATGACATGGCTGAAAACCGTTTGGAATAGCGCAGGTGCATTTGTTCTTTGTGTTCTCTCATATCCTAATCTTCTGAATTCCTGATCACCTTTCTCTTTTTCTTCTTAAGTTTCTTTCACTAGAGTTTACTTCTTAAATGATATTTTTGAACCGTAATCTCTCTTCTTCCTCTACTACTATGGGATTTGAACTGACAATTGCACCTCTGTACTAATGTGGTATGGCAACCTGAACTGATGTACATACATACGAAGTTCTACATTGTAACTGACTGACTGAGTGATTGACCTATTGACATGAAGAATAGACCAATCAATATGCATAGAATACAAACTTTACACTCATTGTTTCTATCCAGTATTTAAGAAAAATACATTTTCTAAAGTACTATATACTCCCATGTGTTATAATCTCTCTTAGTAAACCCGTATTGCTTATTATTCTCTGACAACAAATTCACTACTCGACAAGTCCGCCAAATCAGAACATGGTTGAACAGGAAAGAGATTATATTCCAAATAGCAAGGTTAATAGGAAATAAGAAGTTCGAAGTGAAGGTGAATTGGGAACAACATCAGTATCTCTATAGTTTTTACATGAGAAGCTTCTAGAGAGAGTTGTACTTCAAGTATTGACCAGCGTTGATTGGATAGGAATTAGCCAATCAGTGCACAGCTAACTCAGTCATGCTTTAATCCATCCATGTCTCGATAACACCATGTTTTACATTGAACTCTTTCTATCCTTCTGTCTATATGTATATACATACATATATGCACATTGTTTACTTCAATTGTTTATTTATGTGTTTGTTTGTTCACTATTTCAGTTGACGGTTTTGCATTACTCATTATCGGCACATTAATACATAATCGTGTATTAGATATAACTTTACTACCATGTTGTCCAAACTCCGTGGATTCAGTAATAATTAGAGGAGGTGGAAGAGGAGGAGAAGACATTATACCAGATCGAAGTGAATTCTCTGAACCATATTCACTTGATCATACAGATACATTTGATTCCAGTGATTATGATGATGATGATGATGATGATGATGACGTTGAAGAGGAGGAGGTGATGGCGGAGTCGGATAACAACACTCATAACAACATTGTTCGTGCTAACAGTTATAGATCTAACAATCTAAGCTATCATTCTCATCATCATGAAGCAGAACATGAACAATTATTATCACAAAAACCATCATATGTTCGTACAAAATCATGGCAAAATTATTCATCGATCAATTAATTAGACAAACACACAATCATTGCAATGATGATTTGGATTCTTTCTTAATTCATTCATTCATTCATTTTATTATTTTCCCTCAATGAGATTTTTTTCTGGTGTGTATGTGTGTGTGTGCGCGTGTGCATGGATTATTTTTATTTTCGTTATCGTTGAATCTTGAACTTTGAATCTATTGAACATTGAAAATGATCATTTCACTTGATTGATTGATCAAAGAGGAAAACGACAGCAACAACAACTTTTTATCATTTTACTGTTTCCACTTCAAAAGTAATGTACATTTTTCCCTTTATGCTTTAGTCATATGGTGGTTTTTTTATATTTTTAAACAAAAATTATTTTATCCCTCCCCCCGCCCTTCGAATTTCAATCATTCCCAGTGATTATGTAATACCATTTAAAAATACAGCTTTTTTATCTATTGGAAATCTACTTTTTTTTAAAAAAAAAATATGTGTCTTGTTATTTGTCAGTTATTATTATTATTATTGTAATGTTAATCGGATGTCAAGTGATTGTGAAACACTGTGAATTTTCATGAATTGATTTTTTCCTGAAAATCATATTGTTTATAACTAACCTCTCTCTCTCTGTGCCTTCTACTACTACAACTACTACTATTACTACTATTCATGTTATTATTATTACTATTATTCTAGCATTTGTCTTGATAATTTCATCTGTCTATTTTATCATTATTATATTTATAACCATTTTTAACTGATTCGTAAATATATCCCAGATTGATTCTACATTTATTCATTGTAAAAATTATGGAGATTGTTGTTTTTACGTTGAAATCATGAATTGATTATTGTTAGCACTGGACGGCCATTTCGTCCTGGTATGGGACTGCTCATCAGTGACGATGCGCATCCAGAACTCCTCCTACCAGCTACAGGATTTGAACTTGTGAGCTTCAATCTTGCTCGCGAACGCCTAACCTCTAGATCTTTGAGTCGGCATCCAATGGTGGTGTCCAATGTCTAACTCTGATCAGTCTAGGGATTTTACGTGACCTCACCCATATGTTGTCTTCGATAGTTACTGCCTACACCTGACAGCGTTGAACTCCACTGGTCACAGCTCCTCACTAGAACTCCGAGAATATTCTTCACGAAGCTAGTGACTAGTGAGTACATTTTATGTTTTTTTCAGTGTAGAGTTATAGAGATTGTTGTTTCACATTGAAATCATCAATCGATCATTGTTATACCACCACCAGTAGAGGGCTGGATGGCTGTTTCCTATTGGTATGGGACTCTTCAGCAATCCACAAGACCAAAGGTCCTAGGTTCGATTCCAGCGAGTAGGAGTCGTTCAATGACACTCAACACGCTTGACTACATCATGCTGATAAATGACAAGGTCGTCTAATCAATGAAAAAAATATAATTTGCAGTTAACACAAACGAAAATGGCGTGGTGTGGTTTACTCCGAATAGGACATAAACAGTCGAATGAAAACAAGTTTGACACTGAACTGATTGTCAAGGTGAACTAATGAATTGATAATTAATACAGAAAAAGTAAATGATTTATCGAAAAAATGTGTTCAATATTCAGGTTTATTTACTTACTGCCTTGTCTGTCGTTTCTAACTGTAAGATTCAAAATGTTCCGTGTGTATCATCGTTTATCTTGTATTTCAAGGTGTTAGGAGAAAGTACATGTTTATCTTTCTGAATGTTATCTACTTCTCAGTTCATAGTTAAAATAAAACTAGTTTAAGTTAGTGTATAGGAACTAATTTATTTCTTGCCATGCTTATGCATGATGAAATACTTTTTCAGTACTTTCCATACCACAATTAAGTCTTCCGAACGATGGTTTTAGACGTTGTTGAACGAAACTGGTGCCTATATAAGTGAACTAATACTTATTTAAGTGTTTGCTAATCTTCTTGGAAAGCATATATGTGCACAAAGATATTGTCATTAGATGCTACATGGTTCAGTCAGTCAATCAGATGCAACGTAGAACTTCGTACGTAAGTACATCAGTTCATGTCGCCATAACACATCAGCACAGAGATGTAATTGTCAATTCAAATCCAATAGTAGAAGAGGTAGTAAAGGTATTAGAAGTAATCAGAGAGGTGAGGATTAGAAGATATTATTCAAGAAGTATGATTTAATGAGAAAAGTTTAGAAAGTCAAAACTAGAGTTGTTGAAGAACCCAGAAGATTAGGATTTGAGAGAACACAAAGAATAAATGCACCGGCGCCATTGCGAACGATTTTGAGCCATGTCATTCAAGGTCTCTAACCATCGATTATTATCATCTCGCGGACCCCAACCAGGTAGTCGACAATTACCGACATGGCTAAGTCAACTCGTCAATAACTTGATGGATTTGTACCATGTTTTGGTTTGGCCGCCCCTAACTTCCTTCCAACCTATTCCTACACTACAAAACAAAGCTCGACGAGGCAGTCGGTGGCTGGGCATACGCAACAAATGTCCCAACCACCTCACTACTGCGTCTATTGATCTGCCATTCTTACCTAGCACCCGATTCCTAATAATAGCGTGATGCTACATGGTTAGTGACAAGTTGCTAGCAAAATCTGTTTAATAAACCAATAAAAATATAAAGATTCATCATAGAGTAAAGGAGATTGTTGTTTCGGATGCCAGTTCAGTGATCTTCTGGAGGTTTAGTGTTTGCGCGTGCAACCGAAGGTTCTGATTTCGATCCGTGCTGGTGAGGTCATGGATACACACTGCTGAAGAGTAACATACTAGAGCAAGACCGCTCTCCATTGTTTCCAGGTTTCTATAATGGTACTCTAACAATGACTGATTCACGATTTCAA